TGATAATTGATATTTTTCACCTTGTTTGGCATTATGACATAAACGCATCTGTCTGGGTGTCGATTTTAACCGTGTCCTCTGTGTGTCACCTGTGTAACCGCCATCTTCTGTTTTACCATTCAGTCTTTCTCCTAAAAGGCCAAAAAAGAATGCTCAGCTTAGGATAGGAAGTGGATAGTTTGTTTTTTGTACACACCGTTTGTCCATGCAATGATTTTCATCTTGTCCCAGAATATGAGTATTAATGAATATGATGAAAACGTGGCACAAGTCATGCTATACAGGAACATGCACACACACGCATACTCACGCAGACACACACACACAAACAGACAGACACACAGACACAAAGACATAGGTGACCCTATGGGGGTCACCTAGACCTTACAAGGGTTAAAGCCGCTTTTCTCAAATGATTGTCTTTGGTGCATCTAAAATCTGTTGCTCACGGTATACTTGATAAAAAAAAATGGAAACTACATACATAAATTCTTATCTAGTCCGGTAGGAACCAGATTGAAGCAAGCCTAAAAACTAAAACCTTATTGGCCGACTGAGCCGAGTCGACTAATCAGCAAGCATGGTCACGTGACGTGTCTTCTTTGTCTAGATTCCGTGATATTTAATTCATTTGCAGGTTTCGCTGTCACTGTGTGGGGCTCGCCATTTCCGGGAGTGAAGTGATATATGGGACTGCGTATCAGATTTCAATAATTTAGAAAACACAATACCACTAGATGACGTAGTTTGACATTTTCTGTGGAGTAAAAACGTTTGAGACCGTTCAGCTTTCATTCAACAGTATCAGGTTTTGTGACGTAAACACCATCGAAGTTGCGTCAGAGTTCATAACCGTTCTGTAAAATTCGACCAATAAATACAGAATATGTCTTTTCTCCCTGAATACGGGGGTAAAACTACATTGCTCCAGTCTGTGGTGTAGTAGCTCCACCTGTCCTGGTGTAACCATAGCGCCCTCCGCTGTTTGTGTGGCCGCAGTAGCATCAGGTCAGACCTTCATCTGGATGTGACGTGCCGTCCTTAATATTCTGGTCTGTTTTCGTATTAGAATGTGCTCCTTGGCTGGCCTTGAGGTTTGTGCCTAAAGGTAATTTTTTAAGGCCTAGGGATGTTGTACTGCAGTAAAATCCAGTGTAATAGTGGTATTCACCCTGAGGAACACGTTCCACTGGTGGTACTTGGGTTTCGCCCAGTGGTTTCATGTATATTTACAGTTACTCTGCCTGTGTGTAGTTTCAGTACTGAATTGAAGTACAGGTTGAAGTTGTACTTCATTGTACAGGCTGATAAATAGACTAGTAATACTTTGTCCACCAAAAAGCAATAAAACTTTTGATAGCCGTACAATTTTGTGATGTAACAGGTTATAGGGCAGTATTTTTTATTTAAAAATACTAGTTGTGCAAGAGTTATATTTGGGTACTTCGGTTTTGTTCCTCCTGAATGATTTTTCTACTTTTCCTAAATGAAATTTCAAGTCTATATTCATAGAAGTGCCCTCACCAGCAGCAGACTGACCCAGAGGTTACCAGAGGTCGTCATCAACTGGAGCTGCATCTGTAGCTGTTGGAGCTGGGAGGCCAAGGCCCCGAACTGAGCTGACCTCCAGCTGAACGCCTCACCCCCGACAACTGGGAAAGAAGCTCTGGAGAAGGAGGAGTCAGATGATTGATGACAGACGTAAAATCTCACGTTTGGCTCGCAGCCCGGAAATTGCGGGTTGGTTACAGACCATGTGACACTTTTTGAGGGTCAGATTTATAATGTTGCACATAATGCTAATACCTTAAGAATATGTTCAACCTAATAAATATATAAATGGCTGTTTCCTTTAGAGTTGATGACTAAAAGATGTGGTTTGGTAACACATTCGTTTAAAGATTTACAATTATTTGTAGCCAAATCACTACTGTAAATACATTTGTGCAGCTGCAGTCTTTTTTGTTTTTATTTCTCCGTTAGCGCTGCCAGACATGAGCGTTAGAGACAGAAGAGTCAGAGCAACAGAAAAGTAAGACAGATATAATAAACAGAAAAAAAAAAAAAAAAACAGGACTAGTGTTTGTTTGTTTGTACACAGCGAACAGGAAGTTAGCGACAGACAGACGCAGAGAACCAGAGAGAAGCACTGGGTTAGTTCATTTCCATTCAAAACATGTTTATTGTCCTCAAAAACTAAAGGTTTACCCTGTCGTTTTAGCTCCTCCACTGAGCCAAAAAAACGTACATTTGCATTTCTTGCAGGCATCACATGATAAAAGAACAATAATATGATTGGCCACAAGAGGCCTAGCCTCTCTCTTCCATTGGCCTACAAGATTTAAACACACACCCGGGAAGTCGAAAACCACTCCCCCCACATAGGTATATAAGCTTAAACAACTAATGATACCTTAGAAGTTATTCTTGAGAAGTTAGAAATTATTCTCGAGAGGATTTGCGTATTAACAACTGTTGTACGAGATTTCCTTGAATGCTTCTCCAGTCGTTTATTTTGCTTTATTGTTTGACCTGTTTGTTTGACGTTTTGCTATTAAAACAAATCGACCATCTACCGGCTGCTTCCATTCCTTGCCTGAAGACACCTCACACAGCAAGAATATTTTGACTGGTACTGTGATCCAGATCAGAATATAGCAAGAATCTTTCAAAACGGACACAGGGGGTAAAACGATAAGACAGGAAACAGCTGTGTTGTGACTAAGGACCAGGGGTTCAGACGTTTGTCCAAATATAAAAAAACAAACAAACAAAAAAAACCTCCAAGCTTGTGAATTGCCTTTACGTAGAGGTGTAATGTACACAAACAGACACCGGATATGCAATTTTAAAACCAAAGTGCCCACAGTCGATATAAAGCGAGGTCACATGACCCGGAACAAGTGATGTCACGTAAGGTTGGAGATTGGTGAGAATGGAGGTGGGAGGAGCCAATGAACGTCTGTCTTTATCTGTCTGTGCAGTCGTAGAGAAACACTTAGAGGTGGTGCCGAGCACCACAGAGTTTGAGTCTGAAGAAAAGGAGGACAAACACCGCCCCCTTCTGGTGACTGTGCAGTTAAAACGGGCATGTGGTGATTCAGGCTCATGCTTAAGTTGCGGTAATCTATCCAAGCACTTTTTCTTTAATTAATAACTATAAATACACAGCAGCGTTTTCCACTGGAGAGGATTTCTGTCCGCCTCCTCCCCTGGGGTGAGTGAGTGCCGTCTTCCCTCTCTTCAACAGCTAACTACACTCAGCTGGAGACTCCAGCGGCCTTGATTATGTGGCCTTGATTATCAGCATTCATATAGATTTTTGTATAATATTTATATAGTTCCTCTCCTTGAATCGCAACCTTAACGTGGTGGAGGGGTTTGAGTATCCGAATGAACCTAGGAGCTATGTTGTCGGGGGCTTAACGCCCCTGGTAGGGTCTCCCAAGGCAAACAGGTCCTAGGCGACGGATCAGACAAATAGCGGTTCAACCCCCCCTTTGTGATGAAGAAAAA